TCTATCTATCTATCTATCTATCTATCTATCTATCTATCTATCTATCTCTATCTCTGCCTTTCTGTCTCTGGAACTTGCAGATCAGGTGATCTCTGATGTGATCTGATAAGAGCACTGACTGCTCTTCCAGAGGTCCTCAGTTCAATTCAGCAACCACATGGTGGTTCACAACCATCTGTAATGGGATCTGATGCCCTCTTCTGGTGTGTCTGAAGACAGCTACAGTGTACTCATATACATAAAATAAATAAATCGAGGGAGAGAGAGAGAGAGAGAGAGAGAGAGAGAGAGAGAGAGAGAGAGAGAACTGAGTTTCTCAGCTACTGCTCAAGCACTGTGTCTAGCTGCCTGCCACCTCTCCATGTTCCCTGCTATGATGGCCACAGATTAATCCTCTAAAATTGTAAGCTGTTCCCCAGTTAAACACTTTCTTGTAAGTGTTGCTTTGATTGTGGTATTTCCTCACAGCAATAGAACAGTAATTAAAACAATGTTCAAATGTATTAGCTATTTTTTTCTTAGTGTTAAAATACCGTGACCAAAAATAACTTGTAATAAGAGTGGGTTTTTTAGCCTATGGTTCCACAGGGAGAGTTCATGGTGGCAAGAGAGACAGGGCAGCAAACTGGGGACTAGGAAGCAGAGAGATCCTTTCTTCAACAGCAAACACAGAGCAGAGCATGAAGTAGAAATGGGGTGAGGTTATGAACTCTTAGAGAGTGCTCCTCCCCCCATGATATACTTTCTTCAGCAAGCCTCCATCTCTTAAAGGTTCCACAACCTTCACTAGTAGTACCATAAGCTACAGGGAGCCAAGTTTTCCTCTGTATGAGCCCATAAGTGGACATTTCATATTCACACTATCACACAAAATATACAGAAGATTCTGTTACATCCAAGGAGATGACAGCTCGTTTGGAGGTTCTAGCAGGGAAACACAGCTACTTGTGTAGGATTGACTGAAGACCTTCCTCTATGTGGGCCCATCATCCTCTTTGGCCAAGAGCATGTGAGGGAGGAATGGGTGACTGGTTATCAAGTTAGAACATCTAAATAAACCCTGGTGGTCAATGAGGTGACAGATATTGCACCCAGGCCCTCCTCAAATCCTCCACCCAAGAAGGTGAGCAAAGAGTGTGACTATTTCAACGTGTCAGGAACAAACTTTGCCATATTATAGAAAAAGGGAAGGAGGCTGGTGTTCACACCTGTCACTGAACAAAGCTGAGTAAAAGGACTACAAACACAGAGTCTCTGTTCTCACCTCTGACAGCTGGCTCTCTAGAAGTATATTTCTGGAAGTGCTGGGGAGTCTGGAAAAAGTTGAGGAAACAGGATTTTCTGTTCACAAACAGGTGAATGGGAGTCAAGCACAGCCGAAGAAAAAGGAGATAATGTGACATTCAAAGCTCCCTGAAGCAGATGTATTTACACATTGGTCATGGTACTTACAGAGACACTGGGCAGACCCTGCTCCTAGCTTTGGCAGCCAAGCAGCTGAAAAGAAACAGACACACTGGACGCTACACCACACAGATAAACACCAGAGGGAAGAATTATTATATGTTATTTTCCTCACTGAGCAATCACTTAAAAAAGACTTTAAAGCTCGGCTTGGATGTTAATAAGAGTGAATGCTCTGAGCCAACTATGTTCATATTGTCAAACATTTTTAAGGACTGAATAAAAAAATTTTATGTGTGTGTGTGTGTGTGTGTGTGAATAAACATGGGTGTACTTGCCCCCAGAGGACAGAAAAGGTTGTCAGATCCCTTGCAGATGTTGTTACATGTAATTATGAGCCACCTGATTTGGGTGCTT